TCTTGTGACATCTCCAGTACTCACCTATTTATTAGAACATATTTATAACAATTTTATTTCTTTCAATTTAATCAAAGAAATGATATTTGATATTTCGGAAGTTCGGAGTAAAACGCATGAAGTTAATAAATCATAAAATTGTCTCTTTTTTAATTTTCTAACTTTTTGAAGTGTATAAATAATAAATACTTACACAATGATCTGATTCGATTTTTAATCTTATGATTTTATAATCTTATGTTTAGTTGTTAAATGGTGATTTTCAGAAAAGTTAAAATGAAAATTAGATTTTTAGCAATCTATGAAACTCTATCCTCTGTGATTTTTTTGTGAACTCAGATACACTACCTGCTCAGACTACAAACTGTTACTCTGAAAATGGAAAAATACCATATTCCAAACTGAAATTTTCCAGAATAATTTAACTCTCCGAACAATATTCAACCAACGTTACCAAAATATTGCTACCGTTTTCCTTCACGAATGTATTTACATAGTGTTCAGTAATAACGGTAAGATATCTTAGTTTCTGTAACTTTTCCTCTTTCCAGGAGTTAACCTGACTGAAGAAGCCGCTAAGATCAGTACACAAGATCAAGTGTCACAGGAGCAAAGGAGCACTGCTGATGTCACTATGGTTACCACTGAATCAATCGGCAACAAAATATCCCGCATTTGTGACAGGTTTGAGATTTTCTGGCGATTAAAAACTGGAGAGTTAAAATCATCTCAGCAATTAACAAGTAACCCAGCTATTTAAAAAAACTTACATAAACAACGATTTAGTTTATTAAGAAAATCCAAAGGAATTCTCGAAATAAAAACAACTTTTAGACACGGAGTAAGTTCCTGTTCCCCCCGCTGTTAAACAGATGCTGTCTCACGCGCTGGAGGCGAATGAAGGACCTGATGGAGAGACTGGTGTCCATTAACCACCACAGACTGGATCTCAGGAAACAGGACGACCAGGTTAAAACCTTGTCACAATTCTTAAATAAACATATTTTGAAATTGATCAGGCCCCTGATTAATTTTCAAATTGGTTTGTTAACAAACTTACACCTTTTCAGGTGATAACGATAAATGATGTAAAGTCGCAGTTAAAAGTGTTGCAACAGATCCAGCTAGAAGAAACGAAAAGAAGAACAGAAAGAGAGAGTCCAGCTGCTTAAAGAGCAAAGAGGCCAAGTCGAGGAGCAAGCAAACCAACTCCGAGGCGAAGGCGAAAGCTAAACAGGTAAATTTTACATTTCAAGAAACTCCTTACTCCTTATTATGACAGGATAGATTGACGAAACATTTTAAAACAGTATTTTTGCCGTATTTTATAAATTACAGCTCAGAAAGCTTACTTTATTTCTCATTTACTCTCCTCTAGGTGGCACTAGAAGAACAACAACTGATCAGACAGCGTGAAGCTAACAAGACAGCCCTAGCAGCTATCGGGGCCAGGAAGCGCCCTAAATCAGAGTTAGCGGACAACATGAACACCTCCGCTCCCACTAACCCCAGATTCAGAAGTCACAGGATTAATATGAGGGATGTGGTGTTTCTTTGTGAGAATGATACTTTTCTGAAACAGAGCAAGTTGCTGTTTAAACTCCATGTAAAGTGAGGGCTGTAGGGAATTAGGTGTGAATATGAGACGCTGAAATCTACGAAGTTTTGGAGAGATTAAAGTATTGTTTCAGGGAGCTACGGAGCGTTATTGACTGTGATTTGGACCTACGGTTAAGATTGTGAAAATCACTCAATAGTTGTTGATTTTGAGTTTTATATATCAGAGATATATCAGCTTTATATCTGTATTAAGGAAGCTGAAGACTTCTTTACCGCTTGCCATACTGCCATTTCTGCTCCAACCGGAGGAAATGGGCGTAAATTTGGGTAGTTAAAGTTTTCAAGCTTATTTATGATTAACAATAGATCTGGATCCTGATTCAAGGCGTTGTTTTACTGATAGTTGTGGCTGACTTTTTTTAAATTTTTTATCTCAACACTTATTTTTCTTCGGACATTCCAACAGCCACATTGTTACACAAGTGTGTAACCAGCCAATTACAGGAAGCCGAAGGATTCAATTACACATTAGGCCAGTGACGGTTAAGGTACTTTCTTCGCCCGAGACTTTGCTGCAATGGGCAGCTCCTCATTTAACCCTCACACCCGATTTCTCGAGTATTTGGCTGAGTGGACCGGGGGGCTGCATAGACCACTTAGGATCCTTAGCTGAGCGTCGACGACGCTCACCCCACGGCTAGTGACAGAGTCGGGAATCGAACCTGTACCTGGTACAAACTAATAATATATATATATAAAATTTAAAAAAAAATATATATATATAACTAAGTAAGTATAGCACCACCATTTTAAGGCAGAGTGGATAAGACCTATCATATACAACGTGTAGCAAGTCATCTTTGACATTAGAATGAATTAGAATGCTTTGAACTAAAATAAACCTGCTGAACGACTTCAAATGAGCCTTAATGCTTGAAAAAACAGTAAAGGGGGTGTAATCATAGGTGCAGATTTCGTTTTGAGGTGAACTTTTAAGTTCCCGAGAAATTTTCTTAAGTTTGCTTTTTTTTCCTCCTCGGGCACATTCGTAACCTACGGGCCAGGTAAACCTAAACTACATATTGACCGTTATGTACGTCGGTATCTGTTGAGGAGCCAAATCATCTGAAAAGCCCTTAACCTATATTTTGCTCAGGCACGTAGCCAGGATTTTTCTTTGGGGGGGGGGGGGGGGGGGGGGGGGGGGGCTGTCGGCGAGCGAAGCTGCAAGCTGTGGCAGGGGTCTGGGGGCGCGGCCCCCAGCGGGGTCCAGGTAAGGGGCGGACCACATTGGCGGGGGCTAGGGGGGCGCAGCCCCCCGGAAAATTTTTGCGAAATAGGGTGTTTTAGGCTAAATTGAAAATTTAATGAATTTACAAAAATGTATGGTTTGGCATAATAATATAATCATTGCCTACAATCCTGACCTGAGTAATTTACCCCTTTGAGACTTTATTTTGGGTTGAAAATTAAGTTTATCGAGAGGAAGTGAAAAATCTCTGGTTCAAATTTGGATTTGAAGCCATGTTTAATTTTTTCTGTTGAGGTCAATTTTTTGCGCAGAAAGCGTTCGATTTTAGGGGAAAAAATGTATGTTTGCTTTTAATTTTTATGGTGCCGACGGCACCTGAAATCGACGAAATCTGCAGGGGTGGGTGTAATAGTATAGAAGGTGTAAGGGCAACGGTCATGCTTGCCAGCACTGTGATATTGCTGGTATCTATAATATAACTCGTCTTGCTTATCATCGGAATTAATACGGTTTTTCTGCTGCCGCTAAGTCAGGCAATGCTTAACTTGCGCGCGCCAGTACTCGATGTGCACAACAAAACTTTAAACGCGATATTGTGTTCGCGCGTCCCGACAATTATTTTTCGTAGACCTCCTCATATTTTCAGTAATGGAAATGCGCTTATGTTAATGGAAATTGGAAATGCCGGTTATTTTGATCACAGTAAGAATTTGTTATTCTTTTCTCTCTAAATTCAATCTCACGAAACGTTCAGTAATGATTGACGATATCGGATAATAAATCTGTTTCTACAGGATACGTCATTACATATTATTCACACACATTTCACTATTTCAGTGAACTTAACTCCGGATATACTGTTACAAAGCACTTTATAAAGTTTAGAGTTAAACCTAGTAGTTGTACACACAGTTTATTGAAGAGCCTATAAGGCGCGTGTGAGGGGAGCACGTGGGCTTGGAACAGGAAACTGTTTAATTAGTTAATTAAATGTGAAGAATATTATAAAGAAGTTAGTAAGGTGTGTTTTTACATTGTCAGGGTGAAACAGCTACACTTATTGTATTGTACACTCCTAGTTACCACTGACCAAGTCTTTTTGTACAATGTTCTCAGACTTCAGATATTATGTCAACAGACATGTTTATGAAATGAGTTACCATTATAAACATCACAATACCAGGTTATTCGTCAGTTTTAAAGATGCGTTAAAAACCGTTATAATTTAAAGGGGCTAAACACTGGATGTAGAATTTCTCGAACAGGACAATATGAGCGTGAATTTTAAGATACAAAGGAATGTGTTGTCACACATTACTGATATCATGGTTACCATGACAACCAATTGAAAGACCGGTTATGTAACTGCTAAGTGGATTATCTTGTAACTGTGATCAGAACTCAGAGATAAATTATTCCTCGAGCAAAGGGGCCAGGGTTGGTCGTGTCCAGGTGGAACCATTTGGTTTAAGTAACCAGATATCAGCACTATTTAAATTAGCGTAATTCTTTTATCTTTTGGGGACCCTGCAAAGGCTGGATGGCCTGTGTACTCGAGGATGCGGCTGAATTTACAGGTGTCGATAACATCAGCAGAGACGCAGTAAAACACTTAGCTCTGAAACGAGTGGAATGGAGGAACATGTTACGCCGTAGAAGAGATGTGTGTGATGCAGGCCACTCCAACGACTAGAAGGAGACCTCTTCATGTAGCATGTATGTTTTATCTTTTACTGCTGAAATGTGCAAACACATACTGCTTGAGGATTATAGCGGTGCCCCCCCCCCCCCCCTCTCCCTCTTTCTACAGTACCACACCTAGATTCATGTGTAATATCAAAATACCTGACATGACTGATAACCATTGTCCTAGTGACTGATTACGTTATACGACCTACTAACATAAAGGGAGAGGGTGGATAAACCAGTAGTACATACATTAACACGTGATATTTTACTTCTATTGAATACAAATCTCCCTACCAACAAGCAAGTAGTATACTCCTTCATAAAACACATCATACTAACTCCTTCATAAAACACATCATATTCCCTCCTATATAAAGACTTGGTAAGCATTGCAAATTGTTTCAAATTAAGGACTCTGACTCATATGCATGTATGTAATATGTATACACACACGAAACATGTGTTATTGTTCTGATAAAGTTAAACTCGCTATTTGTTTGAACTAAACTTTTGTATAAACTGCTTATGTCAACAAAATGTCATATTCTCTGTCATAGAACAACTGAATTAAAGTTACTGATAATCATGTACAAATATAAACAATCATAATGATTATACTGTCAACATGTATGTGAAATAATTTGAGTAAAATACCCTACAGTCACGAATAATATGTCTAAAGTAATCATTCGTATAAAATTCTCTGATGAATAGTGCGAATTGACCGATAGTGTTAATTAATTAATAGTATTAATTAATTAATAGTGTTAATCGATTAAGTTGATAGTATGTCACGTGATTAAACCTTAAAAACCCAACTCAGCAATGTCAAATAATAAATCTAATAAACCAGAGTTTTTAGCTCTAAAACATAAACATTAGAAACGTCTTCCAATATTCTGAACTTTAAATTAAATATCAGCTATCCTGCAACATCATGACACCAAGTGTCATCATGAAAACACCACGTGACGTCAGCACAACACCACGTGACGTCAGCACAACTCCACGTGACGTCAGCACAACACCACGTGACGTCAGCACAACACCACGTGACGTCAGCACAACTCCACGTGACGTCAGCACAACTCCACGTGACGTCAGCACAACACCACGTGACGTCAGCACAACACCACGTGACGTCAGCACAACTCCACGTGACGTCAGCACAACTCCACGTGACGTCAGCACAACTCCACGTGACGTCAGCACAACTCCACGTGACGTCAGCACAACACCACGTGACGTCAGCACAACACCACGTGACGTCAGCACAACACCACGTGACGTCAGCACAACACCACGTGACGTCAGCACAACTCCACGTGACGTCAGCACAACTCCACGTGACGTCAGCACAACTCCACGTGACGTCAGCACAACTCCATGTGACGTCAGCACAACACCACGTGACGTCAGCACAACACCACGTGACTACAGTTCAGTGGTCATGAGAAAGTTGGCCTGTCTCATAGCAGAGGAGGTCATGAAGGCAGGCTGTGAAGCAGCTAATCTGACATCAGGTGTGCTCTTAGACCCGTTTGTTGGGGGCTGTGCCGCATAGTTAACATTGTTAGCCCAGGATTTACCTACACTGCTGTGGTATTGAGTCTTGTTTTGTAGCACTGTGTCTGTAAAGAAGGTTCTAAAAGCCTCGTTAGAAGCTCCGTAATTATAGTCCCGATAGTCCGTACGATAGTTGGTCCCAGAGTAAGGACGCTGTTTTTCAGGGTAGTCTAGATCCAGCACATCTCCTGCTCCTATAGACTTAGAGCGCTTGTTAAGTGCTCCGTTACTATGGTTATTGTAGTTAGTTATATTCTTATCGTAGTATCCCGTCTCATTGTATCTGTTCGTGTCCCCGGGGTAGTCATGGCGCTTCCGCGGCAGGGAGTTGTAGTAGTCAGCACGTGGGCGAATGTCTGGTGCTGCACGTGGGCGAGTGTCTGGTGCTGCACGTGGGCGAGTGTCTGGTGCTGCACGTGTGTACTCAGGAGCGCGCGGCTCAGCTTTGCGGGAGTAGTCTGGTACACGTGGCACGTGTTGTGGCCTGGAAGGAGTGGTCGTGTTGCGTGGAGCAGCGTCAGTGTTGCGATGTGGAGTGTTGGGCTGAGAGCGGTGAATGCGCGGTGTGTGGTGAGAGTCTCCTCGCGGTGTGTGGTGAGAGTCTCCTCGCGGTGTGTGGTGAGAGTCTCCTCGCGGTGTGTGGTGAGAGTCTCCTCGCGGTGTGTGGTGAGAGTCTCCTCGCGGTGTGTGGTGAGAGTCTCCTCGATCACGCGGTGTTTGGTCTGCTCGCTCTCGCGGGGTCTCTATCGGGATATTAGCACGGCTCTGTGTTCCATTTCTATGTGACTTCTGAGGGAAATTAGGTGGTTTTAGAATAGCTTATAGTTGATAATCTCTCACAAATTAGATAATCTCTCACATATTAGTTCATAAGTGAAGATTACAAGCATATCGGCTACTTACGGATCAAGTTATGATTTGTTCAAGAGTTCTAGTAGTGAAAATTTAAAAATTTTACAAGTTTTTGCTAAACGAAGTAAACAAAGATTTAAGTTTTTTATCACATTTACCTGACTAGTAGACCTGTGAAGAGTAGCGTTTCTGTCAATTGGAGGTAAACTCTTGTAGAAGTCGTGGTGTTCAATACAGATCTTCCACAGAGCTTTGCAGTGTTTTGTTCTCTCTATTATAAAGGAGTGTTCTTGCTCACGTGATCCTGTATTATATTCTTGCAAATTATACGGTAATTATATAAAATTATACGGTAATTATATATAATTATACGGTAATTATATATAATTAGATAATTATACGGTAATTATATATAATTATACGGTAATTATATATAATTATACGGTAATTATATATAATTATATATAATTATACGGTAATTATATATAATTATACGGTAATTATATATAATTATACGCTAATAATAGTTCAGATGTATCATTTCCCCGCTTTCTTTGTACGGTAAAACCCTTATAACACGGGACTCGCGGTAAATCGGGGTTTTGATTGTCCACATCTTACAGTGGTAACATCAACATGTTAAGCACAGTTTGGGGGAAGAAATGGCGCGGTAAATCAGGGTTTGCGGTAAATCGGGGGTTCTCTGTATATTGTACTGTTAACTTTGGTAGAATAATAAAAACGATATCGTATTCCCTTTTGTCACATGATAACGTTATCTAAGCATTGAATTACAATGGGTACAATGCACATTGTAAGCGTTACAAACTGAGCTGTAAGGGAAAAGGAAGTGCAATAATCAATATGTCTGTTGAGTAACTACAAATAGCTATTATAATCCTCACCAATCAGCGGACTGGTATAATAGTGGACTGGTATAACTTTAATTAATTTTTAAATTAATTTCTATCATACCGGGTTCTTTTGGCTGCACTTTTATAAGGAATTTCTTCTGGTGAAATTTAAGTTTAGTGACACGAGGCCACTCAAAAGTGTTGAGAAGAGAACCGCCTTGATAAACCTGGATACCAGACGGTGCTATACCTGCCAGGAACAAGGTTTATATTAAGTTACCTAGTTGAACAAGGCAAGGTTTATAAGTTACCTAGTTTAACAAGACAAGGTTTATAAGTTACCTAGTTTAACAAGACAAGGTTTATAAGTTACCTAGTTTAACAAGACAAGGTTTATAAGTTACCTAGTTTAACAAAACAAGGTTTATAAGTTACCTAGTTTAACAAGACAAGGTTTATAAGTTACCTAGTTTAACAAGACAAGGTTTATAAGTTACCTAGTTTAACAAGACAAGGTTTATAAGTTACCTAGTTTAACAAGACAAGGTTTATAAGTTACCTAGTTTAACAAGACAAGGTTTATAAGTTACCTAGTTTAACAAGATAAGGTTTATAAGTTACCTAGTTTAACAAGACAAGGTTTATAAGTTACCTAGTTTAACAAAACAAGGTTTATAAGTTACCTAGTTTAACAAGACAAGGTTTAAAAGTTACCTAGTTTAACAAAACAAGGTTTAAAAGTTACCTAGTTTAACAAGACAAGGTTTATAAGCTACCTAGTTTAACAAAACAAGGTTTATAAGTTACCTAGTTTAACAAGGCAAGGTTTATAAGTTACCTAGTTTAACAAAACAAGGTTTAAAAGTTACCTAGTTTAACAAAACAAGGTTTAAAAGTTACCTAGTTTAACAAGGCAAGGTTTATAAGTTACCTAGTTCAACAAGGCAAGGTTTAAAAGTTACCTAGTTCAACATTCAACAAGACAAGGTTTATAAGTTACCTAGTTTAACAAGACAAGGTTTATATTAAGTTACCTAGTTTAACAAGACAAGGTTTATAAGTTACCTAGTTTAACAAGGCAAGGTTTATAAGTTACCTAGTTCAACATTCAACAAGACAAGGTTTATAAGTTACCTAATTTAACAAGACAAGGTTTATAAGTTACCTAGTTTAACAAGACAAGGTTTAAAAGTTACCTAGTTCAACAAGGCAAGGTTTATAAGTTACCTTGTTTAACAAGACAAGGTTTATAAGTTACCTAGTTTAACAAGGCAAGGTTTATAAGTTACCTAGTTTAACAAGGCAAGGTTTATAAGTTACCTAGTTTAACAAGATAAGGTTTATAAGTTACCTAGTTTAACAAGATAAGGTTTATAAGTTACCTAGTTTAACAAGATAAGGTTTATAAGTTACCTAGTTTAACAAGACAAGGTTTATAAGTTACCTAGTTCAACAAGGCAAGGTTTATAAGTTACCTAGTTCAACAAGGCAAGGTTTATAAGTTACCTAGTTTAACAAGGCAAGGTTTATAACTTACCTAGTTTAAGTTGAAGCCCATGACAATCCTTCACGCTCCTCATGTCCACTCCATACGCTGTTAACCACTTAGCTTTCTCCAAATACTTCAGCTCTACTTCCTCAGGTGTTAGACCCAGGTGCATTGCGTGCAGCTCCTTTATCTCACTCTCTAGATCCTGAGTAGAACTATGGTAACTAAGTGGTAACTAGGTGGTAACTAGGTGGTAACTAGGTGGTAACTATGTGGTAACTAGGTGTTAGACCCAGGTGCATTGCGTGCAGCTCCTTTATCTCACTCTCTAGATCCTGAGTAGTAACTGTGGTAACTAAGTGGTAACTAGGTGTTAGACCCAGGTGCATTGCGTGCAGCTCCTTTATCTCACTCTGTGCAGCTCCTTTATCTCACTCTCTAGATCCTGAGTAGTAACTAAGTGGTAACTAGGTGGTAACTAAGTGGTAACTAGGTGGTAACTAAGTGGTAACTAGGTGGTAACTAGGTGTTAGACCCAGGTGCATTGCGTGCAGCTCCTTTATCTCACTCTCTAGATCCTGTCGGGAGTTTCAATCATCAGGAGTCACTTTTATCAGGGAACATTAGGGGTCACTTTTATCAGGGAACATTAGGGGTCACTTTTATCAGGGGACATTAGGGGTCACTTTTATCAGGGGACATTAGGTCATTAGGGGTCACTTTTATCAGGGGACATTAGGGGTCACTTTTATCAGGGGACATTAGAGGTCACTTTTATCAGGGAACATTAGGGGTCACTTTTATCAGGGAACATTAGGGGTTACTTTTATCAGGGAACATTAGGGGTCACTTTTATCAGGGGACATTAGGGGTTACTTTTATTAGGAAACATAAGGGGTCACTTTTATCAGGGAACATTAGGGGTCACTTTTATCAGGGAACATTAGGAGTCACTTTTATCAGGGAACATTAGGGGTCACTTTTATCAGGGGTCATTAGGAGTCACTTTTATCAGGGGACATTAGGGGTCACTTTTATCAGGGGAGATAAGGGGTCACTTTTATCAGGGGACATTAGGGGTCACTTTTATCAGGGAACATTAGGGGTCACTTTTATCAGGGGACATTAGGGGTCACTTTTATCAGGGAACATTAGGGGTCACTTTTATCAGGGGACATTAGGGGTCACTTTTATCAGGGAACATTAGGGGTCACTTTTATCAGGGGACATTAGGGGTCACTTTTATCAGGGAACATTAGGGGTCACTTTTATCAGGGGACATTAGGGGTCACTTTTATCAGGGAACATTAGGGGTCACTTTTATCAGGGAACATTAGGAGTCACTTTTATCAGGGGACATTAGGGGTCAATTTTATCAGGGAACATTAGGGGTCACTTTTATCAGGGAACATTAGGGGTCACTTTTATCAGGGGACATTAGGGGTCACTTTTATCAGGGGACATTAGGGGTCACTTTTATCAGGGAACATTAGGGGTCACTTTTATCAGGGGACATTAGGGGTCACTTTTATCAGGGAACATTAGGGGTCACTTTTATCAGGGAACATTAGGGGTCACTTTTATCAGCGGACATTAGGGGTCACTTTTATCAGGGAACATTAAGAGTCACTTTTATCAGGGGACATTAGGGGTCACTTTTATCAGGGAACATTAGGGGTCACTTTTATCAGGGGACATTAGGGGTCACTTTTATCAGGGGACATTAGGGGTCACTGCGTTTACTTTTATCAGGGGACATTAGGGGTCACTTTTATCAGGGAACATTAGGGGTCACTTTTATCAGGGAACATTAGGGGTCACTTTTATCAGCGGACATTAGGGGTCACTTTTATCAGGGAACATTAAGAGTCACTTTTATCAGGGGACATTAGGGGTCACTTTTATCAGGGAACATTAAGAGTCACTTTTATCAGGGGACATTAGGAGTCACTTTTATCAGGGAACATTAAGAGTCACTTTTATCAGGGGACATTAGGGGTCACTTTTATCAGGGAACATTAAGAGTCACTTTTATCAGGGGACATTAGGGGTCACTTTTATCAGGGAACATTAAGAGTCACTTTTATCAGGGGACATTAGGGGTCACTTTTATCAGGGAACATTAGGGGTCACTTTTATCAGGGGACATTAGGGGTCACTTTTATCAGGGGACATTAGGGGTCACTGCGTTTACTTTTATCAGGGGACATTAGGGGTCACTTTTATCAGGGGACATTAGGGGTCACTGCGTTTACTTTTATCAGGGGACATTAGGGGTCACTGTGTTTACTTTTATCACTAATATGTCCTTTAGTTTGAGTAGACGCAGAAATAATCTTAATCTTCACTTGTGAGTACATATTTAAGGAATACTTGTCATTGCAAGTACTACAGTGATCAGGCCATATCAAGGTATATCACCTGTACACAACACGTAATGTAAAGATCTGCACTGTTATACACGTGCTAGCTGGTACGTATGAAGGTACGTTTTCTGATATAGTTTATTAGCATTATTTTAATCTGCTATGTGATTCTCCCTTGTTGTGGGTAGTAGTTATATTTTGCATTATTCCCTAACTATAGTATAGGTGTTCAGGTATTACAATAATTTAGCTAAACACGTACTATTATAAGCTATTATATCATTTAGCTTGGGTATTTATTATGTTTATCAGTTAGAATACCATCATTATATATTATATAGTAATAGGAAAAAGCACGTGTTCTCACAGTGAGCACTCAACCTGTTTCTTAATAAACCTACATAATAAATACATGTGGATATTTGAAAGTTAGTGGAGCATTAAAATCCATTACTGGCGCTCAGAATCTCTGTTGCCAAGCAACTACGATACCATACTGTCACTAATGTACCAGTCAGTAGTAATGTGGCTTTAAGGACCACTTAACAAATCTAGTGTCAGACCTACTCTAGTAGCAGCGAGTAGTCACACCACATCATTATACTACTACTCTAGTAGCGGGGAGTAGTCACACCACATCATTATAATACTACTCTAGTAGCAGCGAGTAGTCACACCACATCATTATACTACTACTCTAGTAGCGGGGAGTAGTCACACCACATCATTATACTACTACTCTAGTAGCAGCGAGTAGTCACACCACATCATTATACTACTACTCTAGTAGCAGCGAGTAGTCACACCACATCATTATAATACTACTCTAGTAGCGGGGAGTAGTCACACCACATCATTATAATACTACTCTAGTAGCAGCGAGTAGTCACACCACATCATTATACTACTACTCTAGTAGCAGCGAGTAGTCACACCACATCATTATACTACTACTCTAGTAGCGGGGAGTAGTCACACCACATCATTATACTACTACTCTAGTAGCGGGGAGTAGTCACACCACATCATTATACTACTACTCTAGTAGCAGCGAGTAGTCACACCACATCATTATACTACTACTCTAGTAGCAGCGAGTAGTCACACCACATCATTATAATACTACTCTAGTAGCAGCGAGTAGGCACACCACATCATTATAATACTACTCTAGTAGCAGCGAGTAGTCACACCACATCATTATAATACTACTCAAGTAGCAGCGAGTAGTCACACCACATCATTATACTACTACTCTAGTAGCGGGGAGTAGTCACACCACATCATTATAATACTACTCTAGTAGCGGGGAGTAGTCACACCACATCATTATAATACTACTCTAGTAGCAGCGAGTAGTCACACCACATCATTATACTACTACTCTAGTAGCAGCGAGTAGGCACACCACATCATTATAACTTTATAATACTACTCTAGTAGCGGGGAGTAGTCACACCACATCATTATAATACTACTCTAGTAGCAGCGAGTAGTCACACCACATCATTATACTACTACTCTAGTAGCGGGGAGTAGTCACACCACATCATTATACTACTACTCTAGTAGCAGCGAGTAGTCACACCACATCATTATACTACTACTCTAGTAGCAGCGAGTAGTCACACCACATCATTATAATACTACTCTAGTAGCAGCGAGTAGTCACACCACATCATTATACTACTACTTTAGTAGCAGCGAGTAGTCACACCACATCATTATAATACTACTCTAGTAGCGGGGAGTAGTCACACCACATCATTATACTACTACTCTAGTAGCGGGGAGTAGTCACACCACATCATTATACTACTACTCTAGTAGCAGCGAGTAGTCACACCACATCATTATACTACTACTCTAGTAGCAGCGAGTAGTCACACCACATCATTATACTACTACTCTAGTAGCAGCGAGTAGTCACACCACATCATTATACTACTACTCTAGTAGCGGGGAGTAGTCACACCACATCATTATAATACTACTCTAGTAGCGGGGAGTAGTCACACCACATCATTATAATACTACTCTAGTAGCAGCGAGTAGTCACACCACATCATTATACTACTACTCTAGTAGCAGCGAGTAGTCACACCACATCATTATAATACTACTCTAGTAGCAGCGAGTAGGCACACCACATCATTATAATACTACTCTAGTAGCAGCGAGTAGTCACACCACATCATTATAATACTACTCTAGTAGCAGCGAGTAGTCACACCACATCATTATACTACTACTCTAGTAGCAGGGAGTAGTCACACCACAGCATTATACTACTACTCTAGTAGCAGCGAGTAGTCACACCACATCATTATAATACTACTCTAGTAGCAGCGAGTAGTCACACCACATCATTATACTACTACTCTAGTAGCGGGGAGTAGTCACACCACATCATTATAATACTACTCTAGTAGCGGGGAGTAGTCACACCACATCATTATAATACTACTCTAGTAGCAGCGAGTAGTCACACCACATCATTATACTACTACTCTAGTAGCAGCGAGTAGTCACACCACATCATTATACTACTACTCTAGTAGCAGCGAGTAGTCACACCACATCATTATAATACTACTCTAGTAGCAGCGAGTAGTCACACCACATCATTATAATAATACTCTAGTAGCGGGGAGTAGTCACACCACATCATTATACTACTACTCTAGTAGCAGCGAGTAGTCACACCACATCATTATACTACTACTCTAGTAGCAGGGAGTAGTCACACCACATCATTATAATACTACTCTAGTAGCGGGGAGTAGTCACACCACATCATTATAATACTACTCTAGTAGCAGCGAGTAGTCACACCACA